GTGGTCTCTGCAGCTCAGTTGGTAGAGCACGGCGCTTGTAACGCCAGGGTAGTGGGTTCGATCCCCAGGACCACCCATACACAAAAATGTATGCGCGCATAACTGTAAGTCGCTTTGGATAAAAGTGTCTGCTAAATGGCATATTATTATTATTATCAGGGTCTGGATGAGGTAATAAGGGAGACTGGCAGGTTTTGGACTTGGCCCTGCTTTCACTAAGGATGACATCAAAAACATCATTCATTCAAACTGTGTATACCAACCACGATGGCAGAACGTACCTGCTGAACGTACAAACGGGATCTCAAATGATGCCTTCCCTTCCTGGACTCCATTGGTGTTGTGCACTGTGCATGAGTAGTTTGTGGAACCACTGTATGTAGCCTTCAGAACTGTTAGTTTACTGGAGAGGCTAAACAGTTAGTCGTCGGTCTCTTTGGCCACCAGTTCAGCACTCTCTGTGCAGTTTTTGCTAAACTCGTCAAACCACCAGATCAACCCTTTCTGGTGCCCGCCTGTAGAGTTGAAGGAAATGGTCACATTCGTGTTCTGTTTGATGCTGTTCTCAGGACTGGAACTCATGGTTGGAGATTTGTACATAGCTGGAAGAGAGAGAGGAAGATACATTATATTATGTACATGTGGGTGCTGTTCGCAACAGTAGTTAACAACGTCAGTAGGTAAACATTGTTAAGACAGATGCATTTCGGCATGTGGGCATCCAATCAAATCAAATCAAAATGTATTTGTCACATACACGTGTTTAGCAGATGTTATCGCAGGTGTAGCGAAATGCTTGTGCTTCTAGCTCCGACCGTGCAGTAATATCTAACAAGTAATATCTAACAATTTCACAATATATACCCAATACACACAAACTAAGTAAGGGATGGAATTAAGAATATATACATACAGTGGGGAGAACAAGTATTTGATACACTGCCGATTTTGCAGGTTTTTCTACTTACAAAGCATGTAGAGGTCTGTAATTTTTATCATAGGTACACTTCAACTGTGAGAGACGGAATCTTAAACAACACATCCTAGATCTGAATTAATGAAATAATCTTATTAAATACTTTTTTCTTTACATAGTTGAATGTGCTGACAACAAAATCACACAAAAATTATCAATGGAAATCAAATTGATCAACCCATGGAGGTCTGGATTTGGAGTCACCCTCAAAATTAAAGTGGAAAACCACACTACAGGCTGATCCAACTTTGATGTAATGTCCTTAAAACAAGTGAAAATGAGGCTCAGTAGTGTGTGTGGCCTCAACGTGCCTGTATGACCTCCCTACAATGCCTGGGCATGCTCCTGATGAGGTGGCGGATGGTCTCCTGAGGGATCTCCTCCCAGACCTGGACTAAAGCATCCGCCAACTCCTGGACAGTCTGTGGTGCAACGTGGCGTTGGTGGATGGAGCGAGACATGATGTCCCAGATGTGCTCAATTGGATTCAGGTCTGGGGAACGGGCGGGCCAGTCCACAGCATCAATGCCTTCCTCTTGCAGGAACTGCTGACACACTCCAGCCACATGAGGTCTAGCATTGTCTTGCATTAGGAGGAACCCAGGGCCAACCGCACCAGCATATGGTCTCACAAGGGGTCTGAGGATCTCATCTCGGTACCTAATGGCAGTCAGGCTACCTCTGGCGAGCACATGGAGGGTTACCCGCTTTTGGTTCCTTAAAACAGTTTAGATCTTAGAACATGAAAGAATACAGATTAGCCTCCCCATCAATTTTGATTTTCATTTGTTTAAAGATTGTTGTTTTTAATTACTACAATTCAAAAGCTTCCTTTCATTCTATTTACAAAACTTTCTGTGTGAAAACTTTCTTACTGCCCTATATTTAATTAACAGTATCAAGGTGTGAGATTTGAATAGGAATTTCACAGTGCGAAATATATCCAAAAATATCATACAAAAGATGTTTTATCTGAACAAAGTAAAAAAGCTTTAATCTCAATGATCTCATTAATAACAAACAAAGTCACATATAAAAACATACAAAATGTAGCAACAATAAAGTCTGTTATATGGGGTAAAGTGCGGAGTAGGCCTCAAGCAGGCATATCTTTCGGCCGAAAACAGGACGTTGTCTTTTTTTTTTTTACCTATTAACAAATCTCATGATAATCACTTCATATACAGACAGGAGTCTGCTCTCATCTCGGCCTCTTACATTACGAAATAACATGTCTTATTTTTGTTAGAAATGGGAAATAAATGTAACTTTACACACAAACATCTCAAGCCACCATTGTAGATCTAAGCAAAGATCAACAACAAAAAAGTCCCTGACTAGTGCCATGCAGGCTGGCATAGAAATAGGTTAATCATATCTTTATCTACAGTGCCAACTGCGAAGTAAGCACATAAGCAAGAAGGATCAGATACTGTAGAAGATTTGGCAGGAATTGTGGGAGGTGGAGTCTTGTTGTGGACAGCATTCACCTCAAGTTGCCACAATAGAACAACAGATTTCTCTGTTGATATGTAATGCCATCACCAGCAACATGATATCAGAAAAAGGGAACTGAAACAATCATTATATAACTATAAGACAATAGCTGCCTCTTGCATAACACAAAATATTTCTAAATGGTTTTCCAAAATTATCATAATCAACCACCAGGTGAAAATGTCCATGTTCAATTGAAACTGATACCAATTCTCTCAGATTAATAATTGACTCTAGTCCATTGTTTTTCATGTTTACTGTTGCATTCCATTAAACTGACCTCATGGAGGCGAGCCCTGGGCAAGACATAGATATAGACACAGATCAGACATAGATATAGACACAGATCAGACATAGATATAGACACAGATCAGACATAGATATAGACACAGATCAGACATAGATATAGACACAGATCAGACATAGATATAGACACAGATCCTGATTTTCCACCAGCAGAAAAAGGAAGGACAAAACAAAAGAAACTGCTGCAGTAGAACTGTTGAAGCAACAGGCTGGCTGTTGGTAACAAGGTTGGTTAATGTTTAGAGATTACACAAAGTCATAGGTTGAATTCCAAATGGCACCCTATTCTTTCTAGTCAAAAGTAATGCACTATTTAGCCTAACATTTCTTCCCATACACATTGTAGCATAATCAAAGCTCAGGGAGCATAGTACCAGGCACAGTAGTATCCATCAAAACCTGATGATCAACAAATCTTTGGTGAAATGAAACATGTCATGTTGTACAGTCTTACGAAACCAATTTGACTTAATGTTTATGGAAAAGTGCAGTGTTCACTCATTAACAATGTTCCCTCTAAGCTGCGAGTGGGCGCACAGATCCCCGGGAATGCCGTGCAGAAGAAATATCAGCCCATGCAGAGAAGCACGAGATTGAATTTCACTTAAATTTCTCGTTTTCCCCGTTAGT